GGGGTCCTGCTCTCATTTACAGAGGTGCAGACCTGGAGTGGTTCCCACTACCTTTATGGGAATCTCTTCAGATTTACATCAGGGCACAGAAAAAACAGAGTTTGGCCTCCTATTTTCTCAACTGGAACACTCTACTGATTATTATTTTTTCCATGCATATTAGTAACAAAACAGAGCTGACATGAGCACTGTGGAATGAAAGATAATTGCAACGTACAGAAAAAATGAAGAACCAGCACACCAAAAGGTAGAGGAGACCTCACAAATTCAATATATAGGTATTTTGTACGAGGTGCAAAGCATACTTGCTAAAATGGCCTCCCCAAAGCTACCATGGATTTAATCCCTATTTGTTACCCTTGGGTAAGAAGAGAGCAAAATTAATGTCAGTTGCCAGATGGTACTACTACAGATTTGTTAAATATCTAATCACAGAATAGTAACTCTTTTTTTCAAAAAAAAGAAACTGTTCGGCGCGATGCAGGTCTTATCAGTGCTGACTGGTGAGAGGAAAGCACTTTACTATGGCATCTAATCTGGCGGCCTTGTAAAAGTATACATTGATTTCATTCAGCTGGCTTAATTAAGCCTTTGCAAACCTTATGTGGACAAGCTTACTTCAATTTATGAATGCCTTGTTACTGTTCGGCGATGCAGGTCTTATCAGTGCTGACTGGTGAGAGGAAAGCACTTTACTATGGCATCTAATCTGGCGGCCTTGTAAAAGTATACATTGATTTCATTCAGCTGGCTTAATTAAGCCTTTGCAAACCTTATGTGGACAAGCTTACTTCAATTTATGAATGCCTTGTTTTGTTTACTGAAACTATGTTATAGTTCCCATCTTCACAGAACTGAGATTTCACGGCTGCCCGTGATTATTAACATCACCCTGTCCAAAGGGTTTACTGGCTTCTTATCTAGTCTCACTAGACAAGCTAAACTGAAATAATAAAGCAAGCTTTAAAACAGTCTTTTGCATGCTTTAACTAAGTTAAATTAAATCAATGAAACTTTGTGTACAGAAAAACTCTAGAAGCCTAGCCACACAGGGCACTCTGCCGGAGCGGAGCGGAGCAGAGCACCGTGCATGCTGCTGCTGCCTGTGCCCGCTCCGAGGGGCCTGGGCAGCCGTGTGCCCCCCGACAGCGCGCTCCCATGATTGCTATGAACAGTGTGATGCAGCATCAGCAGGGGACACAGAGGACCTCCTACCTCCACCCCGAAATACTCCGCTGCAATAATTTCAGGAGAGAGGAGTGTTGCCATCTCCTCTGGGATACAACCCTACCCTTCCTTTATTTTCCGTGCTGACCCCCCAAAAATGGTGCTAGTTTGAGTCTTGAACAAAGTGGCATGGCATTGCTGTTTGCAGCCCCTAACCTCCTTGGTCAGGTCACCTCATGGCAGCAGGGATCTTGCCCATGGCTGCATCAAATCCAGTCCCCACGTGGTATTCTGTACACAAAATCCTGGAAACAAGCTGGCATTAAAGAGGGCTCAGTGTAGCAGGGCTGATGTTTTATAAAACCTGGCAGTTTGTCTGGGCTTTGCCTGAATTCAGAAATCAAGGCAGAGCAGCTGCAAGACCCCCAAACGATAGTGGTTGTTTTCATGTCAAATCTGTGAAAACAGATCGTACACCAAAGCAATAGCATGTCCCTGGGATACACTGGTAATGCCAAGCAGGTCTCTCCAACGCCTTCAGAAGCGTGCCAGACATGTGCAGACCAGAATTGGTGCTCACTCTTGCAGCAAAGGTCCCAAGTGGCTGCTCCTGCCCACATGCACCTTCAGAGACCTGCGCTGCCCACACCACCGGCATGCCTGCTCGGGGAAGCGCTCCAGCGCAGCCTCAGCTCCCGCCGGCACCAGGTCATTCCTGGCAGAGTTCAGCCACCCCCTCAGTTCATACCTGGTACGTCAGGGAAAGGGCTCCTTTGCTGGTGCAGGTGTTGGGGAGGGGAGGTTTGCTTTCATGGCTACAGAGCCGAGCAATGCAACGTCATGGGTGCACGTGTCGTGCTGCTGACATGTTGTAGTGCAAATCAGGAATTTGGTACATTTTCAGCATCGTTTTTCTCGCTGATAATGCTGAACTTCATTTCCTGCTACTGCTTCACCTGGGCAGATTCCTGTAGTTCTATTGATTTAGGCCCCAACCCAGCATAACATTTAAAAATGTCATTACATTAAACATTTGATTAATTTAATTTCAGTAAAATTAAATTAATTTCAGACTTTTGCAGCCTTAAAGCTGCATGCACACATAAAGGTTGGATGGGTTGCAATCTAACAGAGACACAACTTCTTGGGGTAATACATCTCCAGCCATCAGTATTTTAAAATTTAAATGTTACATTGCTAAGTCTCAGGGTTCTCCGTTAATCAAAATTCACAAAATCACCGTACAATTGCAGCCCTATCAATACATTAGGTCCCAGAAAACATTTGTTAAGAGCAAAAGCATTTTAGCTGTTCATTTTGACATCTTCCTGGGTCTGATGGATCATCAGATTTATGTGAATGCTGTAACAGTTTGAAATCCTTTCTGGGTTTCTGTGTATGAAAACTATTTGCAACTATTGCAAATTTGTTCATAGCAGGATCTTCTGCCAGCAACTGCAATTTTTTTCTCATAGACAAAGATAGGCATATCTTGTGGCTAAATGGATTTGCAATTGTCATTATGATTTTATATTTTTAAATTCTATCACATGAGCCCCAAAGTACACGCTCACAGCACTGTGGCGCGTAGCTGGACACGGCGAGGGACACGAAGAGCAGGACGAGGCACACGGTGCTGGGAGGCGCACAGCTTGCCCATGGTCACGGGGATTTCGGGGGCAGAGCTGGAAGGAGACCCCCATGTCCTAGCCGCTCCCCCCGGCGCCAGTGCCTGCCTTGCCCACTCTCCTCGCCCCTTGGAAACACACAAGGGACTGGAAATGTCGCACGCAAGGGGACCAGGCTCAGAGCGCTGTGGTCGCCGTTTGAAGAGGCACTGTGAGGTGCTGGGTGCCACTGGCAGCAGCCTGGGCTCTGATCCCGCTGCACAGTGCCCGCATGGGCTCGCCGCAGAGGCAAGGAGGCTCCGCTGCCCATCCAGCCAAGGCTTCCCGACCACCGCCTGGCCAAAGATGCTTGCAAAGGGGATTTTGGGGGGGTCAAGGACCTGGCCCTTGAAAGGCAATGAGCAGAAATGCAAAGTCCTTCTGTTTGGTCTGCCATGACTGCAAATTATTTCCAACGTTCTGTAGACAGAAACAGAAGTTCCTGCATTTGTTTGATTTTAAGGCAAAACACAAGACAAAACAGCCTTCGAAAAAGGAAAGAAGAAGTAAACTGACAAACTCCAGTAGCCAGGCACAGCACAGCTTGCTTACATAGGTCTAAGACAAGAAACACACATGTAACTAAGGCAGTGCAAACACAAAGGTGGTAAAATTCATCCCTTGATGCTGGCGCCAACTAAAGATTGAACCTTTCCAGCATCACTGCGCTATTTTTTGCAAGGTGGTGAACAAGTGAGATTAGTCGATGGCTCCCATCTTTGCAGTCTCTAGCTCCCGTCTTTGTGTGCGTTTCTAATCCAGGTCTGCTTCACAACTAGAGTATTTTGAAATTAGCTAGCATGTGTGCAGAGATCTGAAACGAATAGCCAGGTCCCTCTTCTCCTAAACTGTGCGGAGATGGGAAAGCCAAGTGTAATTTAAGTAGCGTTAGCATCATGTTGGCAGTTCAGATCCCACTCACAGGGTGTGCTGTATGGAGAGAGATCCACGCATGCAGCATCACTGAAACCTGTGGGGCTAAGTACTGTGCAGCATACAGAAGTGAAACAGGATCAGTCCCCACATGGCATCCAAATTCTCTCTTTCCTCTCAGATCCAAGAAAAACCCTGAGTGCTGCTTTCTCACAGCCAGGCAGGTGTTCGGTCTGACATTACTGACCCGCACTCCTCAGCACAGGAGGTAAACGAGGGTCCCCATAACCGCATCTGATTTTGGCTCCAAGAGGCAAATCTCCACAGGTTTGATTTAAATATGCAAAGACTGTGGGGTGCCTCAAAACCACACGCACTTACAAGTGTGCAGCCTACTCCCATTTAAATGCAGATGCTTCAAGAATAATTATAAATTGATCGATCTCCGTGTGAACCAGTAGCAGAAAGGAGTCCGTACGTGCAGTGAAGACATCAGAGCAGGCAGTCCTAAGGACACTGAGCAAACTGCCTTTCAGCTCTCACATTTATAAATAATTTACTTCTATCCACCTGTGCCCAGAATAACAATTTGCTGCCTGAAGTCTCTGAGCTGGTGCCAGGACGCTGCCAGGGACTCACTTTCCCGGGACCCTCTGGACCTGTTGGGAAGTGGTCTGGGTCTCCAGAGGAGCGGCTCCAGAGGGATCTGCCCCTAGTGGGAAGAGGCACCGAGAAACAAACACAGGAGCATCCGTTCAGCTGATCGCATTAGGTCTTCACACTGCTGCTGCTGCCACTTAGATATCTGTCTATGCGGCCATCCATGTGTTTAGAGAAATATATAGACAGAGTGTATGGGTAGGTCTGGAAACGTCTGTAGCTGCAGAAGGCTGCAGAGCTCTTCCGTGAAGCAGACGTAAAGGAGAGGCTCTGTTTCCCCGAAGAGGGGGAGTGTTATGAAACACAAGTGTACCGACTGTGGCTGAGGATTTTGGCAGTGCAGCGCTGAGGCTGTTTCGATCCTGCCTGTTGGCGCAGGAGGCCATGGAGCGTTTTTCTCCTGTCAGCCCCTGCACGGCGCAGGACCCCGGCGCCCCGGCCCGGTGAGCCGCAGGGACCCCGGCGAGGGACCACAACGGGCGGCGGTGAGCAGGGAGCATGTGCGGGGCTGCATGGCAGCTGGGTTACTTACTGATATAAACAGCTGGAGGGACCGGAGCGCCGTGCAGACACAGGCAGAGCACGGAGGGGTGCTCAGGAGGATTACGGCTTTGCACGCTGGAAGCAGGAGGCAGGAGAAGGATTAGTGGGGAAGGGCAGAGGGAGCAGGATTTATCAGCTTTTCAGATATGCATTACAGCTTTTTATAATATTTCACTGGATTGTCTAGGACTTTGCCTGGCTACAACAGGAGTTCCTCAACCATAAAAGAAAGGTGAGTTTTTTTTCTCTTTTTCTTATACAGTTGCATTATCTGCTTCTGCAAGCTGTTTGTCAGCTGGCCTTGACACAAGTAATAACCAGACAACTTTTTGCAGAGGCTGAGGTATTAACATTCATTGCAGTCTGAATGGCTGTTTGATTTATTAAATTTATCCATGGCATCTAAGTACACGAGGCTTAGCTGCATTATTTATAAAGATTGCAGTTTGCTCTCGAGATGCCCTTCTCTGAGCATCCACGAAACATTATACTTGAAAAGTAGGCACGAATAATGCGAGTGTGTGTTTGTGTCACACAGCCTGGTGAGGCAGACTAGAACGCTCGGCTTCTCTAAACAGTTTCTGAAGCATCATTTTGCTAAATAAATAGACTCTAACAATTTTTAGTAGGTGGATGTTGCAGGAATTTGGATGTTGAGGGGTTTATGAAAGACATTTTTTAAATACTTATGATTTAGTTACAATCTGCACGTTATTTTAATTCCAGTAGATTTTCTTGCACACAGGAAAAGATCTCATCTCTGGCTACTGTGGGCTGAGGCAAAAATCAATATATGGTACATTTTTTACAACAATCTTTTCCAAAACTTCAGCCTATAGCCACAGAACCATATTGGGTTTTTTTGAAATTGCAGATAAAGCATCATTTGCTGGGTGCTTGAGTTCTTAATATCAAAGAGATGTACATTATGCACGAATGGTTTATTATTGATCAAAATACTTTCTAGGTTCAAGAATACTCTTTGCTGGTAGGTCTTGCTTTATCAGTGAATGGTGACAGCAGATTGTATGTTATCTTTTGAGTACACATCGCTCTATGTACAGAATGCATACACACATACATATATATGTGTGTGTATGTATACATATAAAATGTATGTATGTATATGTCTGCATCTTTTCCATACTGCATGGAGTCAGTCCTCCTGATTATTACTTTATCACTGAGCTAGGTAAAAAGTATTGGGTTAATGGAAAAAATACCATATCGCCATGGTATGCTTTCTGTTACAAGCTGTCACTGGAACACTTTCCAAGTCAGCACTCTGTCTCACAACAAGCCTTCCTGGACCAGCTGCCTCCTGCAGGCTCTTCTGCATCCCTCTCCGTAGGCTATTGCGTTCACCAACAAAATTATTGCCTAGATTTACACCTACCTATGCTAGAAAACTGGTCTCAAAAAAGTGGAATATCTAGTGAAAGAGCTGCTGTGACCAAATTTGCACAAGTTAGCACTGACTCTCCAGCCTCGGGCTGCAGCTCTGCTCTGTGACATCGCCTTTCACTTCCAAAGCTGAATTATCTGTCAACTGTAAACCACCTCCCATATTGTTTACAGTGGATATAATGTATATTTTTAACTTGCGTATTTTCACCTTGATTTGACTAGTTTATGGACTATATAGTTTTTCTCCATCCTCTTGCTATGTCTGCATAAAGATTTTTATTACATTTTTATTTATTTATCACAGTTCATCATTATTTAAGTTTTAACACGCATCAAAGCATCAAAGATAACTTTGCAATCTGATTACATCTTGTAGCAAGTGCACTTCCAACACAGTGTGGGAAGGGAGGACAGGTGAGGGAGGAAATGGTAAATTTGCTAGAAAGCCCTCTCAAGCTGCAATGTTTGCCACTACAGCATGTGGAGAAATTGTGGTGCTTCTACCTCATTTCTAGTTTGTTGACAGACCTTATGTTGTGCTTAAAGTAACACTCAAAGCAGCATTGTGTCAGGAAAGAGTTGCTCACAAGGGGGACATGTGCGTAGAGTCAGCACAGATCCATCCTCTAGCAAGTAAAACTTTGTAAGTTGGAAGAAGTGCTTATTGCTTCTGAAAGCCCAGATAGTTAGGCCAGATCTTTTGGTAGGGAAGCTGGCATGACACATCGGAGCTTCAGTGGTCAGGACAGACTGAAGGTCCCTTCACTTATGTCTCATTGGGCACCATTACTTTACTGAAAATCCCTAGATGATAAGCTTCGTTTTGATGGGAAACGGGTGGAAGAGTTAGTTTCTAGAAATATTTAAAGGCCAAATTATTCTCTAAATCAAACAATTGGAGGTGACTTGGGAAGAGATGGGGAAGAAACCCTTTTATTATATTTAAATACAAACCCTCAGGCAAGTTCTGCAACAGCAGAACTGAATGATGTGGTGTTTCACATGGAGGGTGATGCAGGATGTGCAGGAGCAAAGCACAGGCACTAACTCATCCTCAGCCTCGCATGCCTGAGCTAGACATCCTGCCTTGGAACAAAGAAGAAAAGCAACTTGAGTTTTCCACTTGCCTTGCAGGAAGGGCAGGGATGAGAAAACTGGAGAGCAACAGAACCGGCACAAGCTGCAGTGGCTGCTGGAGCCGTGTGGCACGTCACCGTGCGAGGCTCAAGACACGCCGGGGCTGTCTGCTGGCCCTGCCCGTGCAGGACAGCTTGTGCTGCTGGGATGGTGGCTGCAGTTGCTCCAGGGCCTGCGCTAAAAGCCTCATCTGCAGGGTTATGGGAAGAGCGCGGGGGGAATGCCTGCCCAGGGCCAGCATTGGAGGGTGTTTCTGCCTCTCCATCTGAAGCCAAATGCTCTGGGAAGGCCAGGTTGTTGGATTCTAGATGGGTCTCATTTAAGCATTGCATTGTAACTGCCAGAAAAGTCAATGATCAGGTTATATTCCGCAGACCTTATCTCACAGAAAAGTACATGTTTAAGTTGGTGAAGAAAATTAATATTATAGTAACTCTTCATCAAAAATTTCCCCTCTTTTTGGTGAAAGAATATCCTAGGAAAGGTGGTGGAATTATGAAATCACATCTTTTTCTTTTCTTTGCATAAGTTCCTAAATTACACTGTTAAGTTAGTGAGACGATTCCACATGACACTTTGTTAAGGAGCTAGAAAAAGTAACAATGGCCCTGAGCCAAAATCCATCAGCATCAACCTATATCTTGATCTGAGTAGATTTTGGCTTAAGACAGTACAGTACCAGGATGTTTCTTCCAAGCTTTACTTTTAGCATGTGCTGCTTTCCACACAAATGTGATCCACGGTTTCATTTTTCTCCCTTATCCCATGATTTGAAACTAGGATAATGTGGAATTTCTCTGTTGATTCCACTATGAGCTCAGACAGCTCACCTTTCTTGTCTTTTTAACCCCTTTCTCAAAACTCAAGAGATGGCTCTGGCCATGCATGAAAGTACGACTGCGAGCAGCACTTGCTGTCGGCCGGCTTGGGAACGACACT